CTTACATAACAATTGTCTAGAAGCTACCAATTAAGCCACCTTTACGCTGCCTTTGAGCACCCATTCGGGACTTTTAAATGGCTTAATTTTAACTTAATTGTGGTGTATTAATTACTTAAAGATAGCCTAAAGGTGCATAATGGTGACTTAAAGACGACCATTAATTCATCATATAAGGACCCATAAGCCACCAATAAGCCATGCTAAAAGGAATCTTTCATCTTGTGAAAACTTAGAATTCAAAGAGAAATGTAAGTGAAGTCTTGTAAAAATCAAATACAGTTTGGAACATTCATTCGGGTCTGTTCTTCTCTATTGCAGCCTGAAATCATGGTAGCGAAGAAATTATGGGGAGGTTTAACATAAAAAAATATTGAGTTTTATTAGTTACATAGTTTTTTAGTGACAGGGTACGGGATGATACCTGGTTAGTAAATTTCATACCTGGCGAGGCGAAGCCGAGCCAGGTATGGAATTTACTAACCAGGTATCATCCCGTACCCTGTCACTAAAAAACTATGTAACGAATTTACCCCACCGATAAAATATTTATGCATTGTCTGTGGTTTGTAAAATTGTTTTTCTCTTTCTATATATGTTTCATCACTCATACAATGCCTATTATGACGTCACGTTGTGTGACGTTATGTTGTTTTGCGAGTGTTTCGTGCTGTAATAACGTACTGACAGTTTTGAAGACTTTCAGTAAAGGGAGAAAAAGGTTCCATCTTCGTTACTTACATTAGTTAACTGTAACATTGTCAACAGACACTCGGCAAATCGCGTGAACTCGAGTTGTTCGAACGTTACACAAGAATGATAACTCCGTATCGACCATGTATTGATTTTCAAGCGACTAAGTATAAGTAATACAGCCCCTTCACGTGATAGACTTCAACCAATCGTAAGCCAGGATTTCATCGAAAAATCAACAGAGGTGGGGAAAACAAATTTTACATCGCGTTTTTTCTATTCTTTTGCGTTAGGCTAATAAGCTCATAGCGCTTTCTATAATATGATATTGCACTGTGTGCCGAAAGATTTAGATCTGCTTGATATAAAAGTAAAAAATGGTAATGTGTTAAAATGTCAGGCAGGTGATTTTTTATATCCCCAAGTCTTTTCAAAATGAATGCTAAAATTGCTTTTTTTTAAATTCATTGAAATTAATGTTTGTGTTGAATCTTACAACTTTTAATGAAATATGAAAATTAACGAACAGTAATCAAGTCCATAGAAATTATACAAATTTTGAAGCAGAGTAACATCGAGTTCTAAAAACATCATACATTGGATAAGGTGTCTTGAAGGTGCAAGCATCCCATGTCGACTCGTTAAATCCGCCGTGTTTTTAGCGAGCGCACAAACAGGAAAACCCGAAGAAAATTCTATATGGATATTGTTAGGCCATTTTCAGACCTTTAACAAAAATTAGTATTGAGTCCAATTTTATTGAATAAATATGAAAAAGCTCGCTTTAAATAACAAAATGACTGACTTTTGTTTGCAATTTCAGGTTCAGGTCAGGCATGGTAGCTGCTGGGGTCGGCCCCAATGTGTTTGTGCGGTAGCGGCAAGATCTGGGCGAGACGTGTTTGTTGTAGACTTTTGTAGTGGAAGAGAATTTATTAATTTTCCTATGTGTGAAGATAAATCATTGCAAGTCTATAAAGACGGAGACCTTAAGTATAGGGTAATATTTAATTTGTTTAGGTGTACATTTTTATACACCCCGCTTGAAAAGTGGGGGGATATAGTGATGGGGTGTCTGTCCGTTCGTCTGCCGTCCATCTGTCATCCGTCTGTCTGTCCCTCCGTTACGCTTTGGAGTACGCATTTCTTATCCGCGACTCCTCCTGACCAGAAAATCTTTGTAACATAGTGCAATTGTGTATCTAATATTTTACTTTTTGATCGGGTCGCCCGCGTGGCGTAGTGGTTAGAGCGTCTGTTCTAGAGTCGCAGAGTAAGGAGTTGATCCTTACGTCGCGGGTTCGAATTTTACTGTGGGACGTGGAGACTGGTCCTTCGGATGAGACCGTATAAACCGAGGTCCCATGTCGCAGTAGGTGCTGGCATGAAAGGGATCCCTCACTGGTCAATGGCCCTGACTGTCGAGTATAGGACAAAATTTGCAGCTCTCCACCGGCAAATGGTGGCGTCTCCATATGAGTGAAAATTTCTCGAGAAAGACATTGAACAACATACAAACAAACAAACGTTTTGATCGGGCACCAAAAGCAAAACATAGATACTGCCATTCTTTCTGTAATATTGGGAGGTACCCATCTCTTATCCTCAACTCCTCCTAAACCACTGAATAAAATTAATGAAATGTCCACAGAATATTTGTTACATAGTGCCATTGTGCAAATCCTATTTTACATTTTGATGGGACACTTATATTTGGTTTTCCGTAGCAAAACATGGACTTTGGCAAACCTTTGGGAGGTGGGAATGCTATTTTCTTAGCTCAGTGCTTAAAGTACATCTAGTTTATAATTTGAAGAAAAAATGATTTTTTTTTAAAAAAAAAAGGATAATTGTACATTATTTCATGAGGTTTTTTTTAAATTTAATCTCTTTTAAGGTAGTTTTTCCCACTGGCACATCGTTAAAAATTTATATATATGGATATTCTTTATGGTATATTAATGTGGAGGTGTATCCTACGATAGCGGATGAAAAAGCTACCACTGGACTATGTGGATATTTGGATAACATTCCAGAAAATGATTTAAGATGGAAGAATGGTTTTCAAGATGACCCATCATTGTATGACTATTACATCAAACACCCGAATGATTTTTCTAAATCTTGGGGGTAAGAGATAATAATCTCTCTCTCTCTCTCTCTCTCTCTCTCTCTCTCTCTCTCAAATTTATATAATGTTAATCAGTATGAATAATACATTTTTAAGTCATTTTCTTTTAAGATTGCCCAGAGGAAGCAGTGAGGATTTACTTCTACATGACTCATCTATTTATGATAATTTACAAGGGTTGACTAACTATTCCTACAAACTTTGTTACTGTGATAAAGATAAAGGGCCTGTGTGCTCCTATCAACAGTATAAAAATTGCAAAACAGATAGCCGTGGAGTAAAGATGTCTTGTTCCTTACAAACGAGCAATCGAAGGAGACGGGATATCCGAATTCTTCAAGATGAAGAATATCCTGATTATGATGTAGTTTTACAGGTATTGATATATAGATTTCCAATACATTTGGGTTTTTTTTTAAATAATGTATACTGATGGAAGTTTTTGTTCATTTTCAGAGATCAAAAAGACAGTCTTTTACATCACAGGAAGATGCTACAACACTCTGCACAAAAGCCTTCCAGGAATCCGCACATTATAAAAATTGTTTACAAAATGTCCCCAATTTCGGCAACGAAACTTTAATTAATTGCATCAATGATATAATGGTAGGTTTTCATGTAAAGGGTATTGCCGATTGAGATGATTTTTTTTTTCTTTTTCTATCTAATACTTCGAAGATAGTTACGTAACACAACAATGTTGGAAAAAAAAAATAAGACCACTTCATTTCACCAGTTATACATGTATAATGTGCTTTATAAAGGGACTGAAGATTTTAATAATGGGGAACAGAACAAAAACAGAGAGGTGTTGCAAAGAAACATTTAAGAAAATAAAAACTAGATGAGGTTTTTAGCGAACATCGAACTGATCTTCCGTCCGTAGTTTTTTTTTTCCCTTTTTTTTTTTTTTTGTTTTTTTTTTTGTTTTTTTTGGAATTGGATGAAATTTAGAAGGGAAGATATCAAATAACAAAGAAATGAGCATTATATGATGATTAATTAACACAGTTTGATAGGAATTGAATTTAGACGTCTTTCGTGACCTTTGCCATTCCATGTCATGTGACCATAAATAAAAACATCAAAACCTGTAGGATTCTTGTTTGAATCGAATTGACGTCATTCAAATAAAATGATATTGGACTTTGGAGTGACGTTTGTTATCGTTGGCCATGTCTTGTAGATGCTAAATGAAGACAATTTCCTGTATGACCGGATTTGGTATTATTAGACGACTTCGTATTATCTTTTCAGATTGTATTTGTTATTTTGAACACCTCTTCTTCAATGCTGCATAAACAATCAGTTATATAAAATTTCAAAAAGCTAAATAAACTCGTCATGCAATGCTCATACATAAATTTCACATTGAAACAGACTGATTAGAAGCAACATTTTATCTTAGATGACTGGGGATGAGAACCTTACCCTTCTCCACGTTGAAACAGCCCTTGATCAGTGTAAAGAATATATCTATTACAATTCAACCTTGCAGACCGATGAAAAGGAAATTGTAACAAAAATCACTTTGTTGTGCTCGAAAAATTGCAGCAACAGGGGATCTTGCAACAAAGGTAACAATATTTTGTGAGTATTTTGCTACATGTTTGCGACACAGTAATGTTACAATTGTTTCCAATACTTTGTTGTGTATTTTTTTTTTTAATTATTATTATTATTTTAGTGTTTCCGCCTTAACTTAATTTTATTTTTAAACTCCCTCTCTTACGAAAAAGGAAATTGTTCATGCTATCCAGGCTATGTTGGAAGTGATTGTTCCTTCGACATAGTTGCTCCTCCAACGATAACCCGCATTTCCGACTTTGGCCTGTGTGATAAGACAACGGAGGCTTGTGATAACGTTTTTATCTATGGAAGATATTTTGTGAAAAACTCCTTGTCATCCTGTTTTATCAGGAGATCTGAGGCAAAATCATAAAAAGCATTTTTACAAGATGTAACGCTCTCATTTATGCAAAAGAATCGTTGCTAAAGTGTTTGGGAAGGTAACAGAATAGTTGGACTCTGTCATACATGCAGTCTCTTTCACTAAGCTTTCAGTAACCTTTCTGATATCTGAATCTCAGAGTCTCGCTGTGTGATATTACTTTTGATAAGCATTTGACACTGCACTGTATATACAATGTGCTATATCCATTATTTTTTCAACATTTCAGTTTTATTCGACTGGACCAGAAGCATCAGAAACACTTTATCAAGTATCTTTACAGGAAATAACACTGTTTGAAGCGCTATGTATCCTGCAGTACCAGACTAATGAGTCATGGATAACGAAATTTGATCTCAGTGTGACAAATGATGGCAGACAGTTTACTGACACATTTACCGTCCACGTTTATCAATCAGAATGTCAAGTCTTCCGCAATCAATCGGGAATAATAAGCTTTACCCTACAAGTATTTAATCTGCATCACTTATTTCTGTTTGAAGTATCTTCTAAAATGCTGAGAACAATTTTTTAAGTCTAAAAAAAAGCGGAAAGAATTTTAAAATACTAATGCTATTTTCCTTCTATTATTTTATTTCAGAAAAATTATTGTTTTATAAAAGGATCCTGCGTCAGAGAAAATACGATGAAAAGCAACACATCGTGTCTTCGCTGTGACCCTAAAACAGATGCCTTTGATTGGATTTATGGTATTGCTGCTAAGTTATTTAATTCAATAAAATGCTTTAATATTTTAAACTTTTGTAAAGTTTTAATCGCCAAGAATCCCATGGAATTCTACCTTCAATGAAATGAAAGAAAGATATCTTGAGGAAGTCTTAAATCAAAAAATAATCTCCCCATAAAAAGGGTACTTTCTTTAAACCAAACCAAATCTACTTCTGTTTGTTTCCAATTGAGTGAAAATAATAAAATAAGCACAAGTATCTAATTCCTTTTTAGCGTGTACAACTTCGACAGAGCATACGACCGAAAGGGTAGTGGATACTTCAAGTGACAATGACTTTTCTATGTCTTCCTCAAAAGGAACTAAAACCGATAACACAGATATATATACGTCTACAATGCCTCTGTCAACAGATGCAATAACCCTCACAAAAAATTCAAAAGTATCGGATGCATCAGAAACTACAACACCTAGTTCTACATCCTCATTCTCTACAACCTTTGAACTTACATCAAGCGGCCAAGAAACATCTCCTCAAAGTCCAAGTTCACCATCAGTTACATTAATTTCGAAAGATCAAACATATTCTGGAACTCCTTTTTCGACAACAAACCCTGCCGTTCAAAGTTCACCTTCAAATACTAAAGAAATTCCAAAAGAGACACATCAAACTGATTCTGAAATCGAGAAATCTTCACCCGAATTACATACTACTCTGGCGACAAATCAATTGAACCATGAAAAAAATAATAAATCCAGTAAAAAGTTAACAAATCTTGAACTAGTTGGGGTTGGTGTTGGATGTTTAGTTGCTTTAATATTAGTATGCATAGTAGGCGTCTTATTGCAAAGGAAACGTACAAACAGGTATGTTATTATTTCATAACTAGTTTAAGTTTCTTTATGATATTCATGGACATTTACATCATTTCATACCTTTCAACACACACGAAACCTTGTCACTTCGCTGTAAAATAATCAGTAGGAACTATATGCATTTTCAATTCCCTAGGGACACCAAAATGTGTATTTTATTATATTTTATGTAATTAGTAGCCGTATTTAATTATTGTAAAATAGAACTTTTTTTCAACTTTTATTAGTGTTATTGTAAACCTTTTAATCAAAATAAAAAAAAATAATGAAGATAAACCTAGTAATCATTTTACAGATATATACATGACTTGAGTAGTTGTTTTCAATTTTTTTTTTTTTTATAAAAAGTTCGTTTGTATAATCTGTCCTCAATTGTATAAAGATCAATTTTAGTAATCTTTTAACAGATTTCAATGCTATTTTCTTCCTTTTTTCTTTTCTTTTTTCATTGTGAACCATCTCTGAAGCTAAATGTATGGAATTCTTGATATCACTGTTATTGAAATGCATTTCATTTTCCCCTGTTTTCAGAGATGCTGATAGCTCATCTAAATTCAATATGGAAGAAATCAATATATACCTAGACCGAAAACCCGTTCAAAAGGAATCGCTGGATCCAAAGTCAAGATTGTTTTCGTCTCCAGACGATATTTACATGAGACCACCCACTGCAACGTCCATAAGAAAGGGACCTGATATGGGAGATGTTTATAAGTTGCAGCATTTAGACACTTCTTTCTCCGAGAAAGGGAATTGACATAAATCGCAATCTTTGTACTCGTTGAATTTATAAACAATCACTTTTTCTGTTATGTATTGAAAGCATTTGCTTGTATTATTTTAAAAATATCAAAATATATTTCTTAAGCTTACCATCTTTATAGAATAATACTCTATCATAATAATATTTTTTTATAACTTCAAACACCTTAAAAACGATGTATTTCCACAGTAATATAATATATAATATAATTTAACAAAACATATTCTTGTTTTCATTCTCCCGGAGCAAACTTTCTACGGAATTCGATACGGTGACTGTCGCTATCATAAATTAAATCAGCAATCATCCGTCACGAAACTTTCAAACAAATTGCCCCTGAGACTTTCCTTTTTAACAGTTACAAACACTAGGGCAGACATAAATAAGACATTACTTGAGATCTTCGAGAGGAGTGAAACCACGGATAAGGGATAACATTTCTTTCATTCTAAAAGAAATCTGGTGCCAGGCAATCCCGCAAAATTAGTCAGTTTATATTCTGTTTTGTTCCTACTGTTAGATAAGTAATTAAAGTTTTTAAATGTTACATTTCCATGAAATAAATTGTATATGTCTCACAAATTAAAAATTCGGCAGTTAAAGTTCTGAATTCTCTCTAAATATTGGCTGTAGCAGCTCTCACTGGTATTTAAGAAAACACATCTGCGTGGTTGTTTCTAAAATTATCAGGAATATATCAGACAGATAAGAGAAAAATCGACCATATACCGAAACAGAAATTTAGAAACAAACTGTTGTTTAAACACATAAATATTTCTATAAGTCTATCTTCATGGATGAAATATATGGAGATAACGAACAGTATTCAAGCTCAAAAGTCCATTATACAATAAAAATCAGATATTTCTATATTTTTTGTTGATAATCAGCTTAAAACATTGTAAATATGATTTCTACGATTGAGTTCATTGATTAAAAGAAACATAATGCATGCGTAAAAAATGCAATTTTGTACAAATATTTTTTACAATTAAAAATAAAAGAAATTAATGCATTCATAAAGAAAACATGTACAAGAACATGAGATTAGGAATGAGAACAGAAAATACTTGTGCATCTACAAGTAGACCTGCATTTTCTTGGCACAGTAACCAACATTTCGAGAATACACTACTGAATTCCAGTCGTATAACATTTAATAACTGAACTAAAAAAATTTATTTATCTCCCTCATTTCAGAATAAAACTCTTTTTTTCAAAATATTCCAGAACATAACTGATGTAAAATAACAACCTGAGCAATTCAATTTAGGAATTTCAAACAGAAAAGTGTTGTGTTTTGTTATTGCAAATGCTGAATGTTTGCAACATTTCATATTCTCTGTTAAATGAATTAAAATGATTCATATTTAACCCAGTGTACAGAAAGACAATTTCTGTGATTAAAGGGTGGAGCAATTGTTTCTCTGTTGCTGAAAAAAAAGTAATAGAGTTATTCCACTTGGTGTGTCCTCTCAATGGCATGAGCAAATATCCCGGGTTATACGAACAATACGCATGATCGGCCCAATGTCATTCGGGACTCTGCCATCCTAAAACTTCAGTGGTTGAGGTATAAAAGGGTTATTTTAGGCTGGAGTCCAGACGTGTGGACCTTGTTATGATAGATTGGTTAAAAAGATTATGCATGTAATAAATATTTACATCCATTGAATATTATCGTCTATATTTCTTATAAAAATCATGCTTATTGCAAAAATGGATACCAGGTACCCCCCCCCCCCCCAAAAAAAAAAAAAAGACTGTTGGAAATGCAATAAGTGTCAATCTTTTCCTTTATTAGCCGATCTAGTTTTATAGTCCCTTGAAGCAAAAATTATTCAAAAATATCTTCATCAGAAGAAAAACTCTTGTTTGCCCTTCAACTCGACATTTAGACATATCCACGGTGTTTCATCAATTAACAAATGTTACTTTTGTTCATATATCGACTCTAAATACTCCAATAAACTCAATATGAATTACCAAAATAGGCTACCGCATTTGTTTCATGTTTGTATATTTTCCTGACTACAGACAGTAATGGTCAACAAACAAAAAAATGTATCACAAACAGAATGACCTCCAGCTTTTCCACCGAGAATTCCTCTTATTTATGAAGTAATATTCTAGTATTGCCTGCATATTGTATTAATGATTTTCAACATATCTCATAAGCAATGGCATGCTCTGAGTACGATCAGTTTTAAAGCAACCTACTGACGGATGTATCAGGGATATCAGCAACCTCGTTTAAAGTCAGCATTTCTAAAATTCCATGGTCGTTATAATAACCTTGTTTGCTAATACAGCCTATAATTAGGTCATGTTTTGACGGCTATTTTTTACCATTTGTTAGGTCATTTTCACCTTGGACACTTGTTCCCATTTCTGGAATTTCCAGGGGTACTTGTTCAAGTGCATTTAGGCAACACCCATCAGCCACGCAATTCTCAATCTAGAGGACCGGACTCAGTGCTGCGACTTTTACTTTCTTATTTCTATTTCTTTTTGACATCGTTTTGAATGAGTAATTGCATTTGTAATTATTGACTGTAATATTATGACAGAAAAGTATTTGGGCGGTTTGATATCGTATTGGTTTATTAAAAATCAAAATCACGGTCCCGCATTTATCAGGCGTCCAACCGTAATTTATATTGTGGCAAAATAGCTTTTGTAAGCAAATCACAAATACTTTTATGTTTAGCATATGCAATCATTGGTTTTGTTTGAAAGATTTCTTTGCATGTTTCATATTTTAAAACAAATGACCAGTATTTCCATAATTTGGATTTCAGACCTTTGATTCTTGGGCCATACTTTGTAATTATAACAATTGGTATTTCCTTTGTTTTCTTGGTTTTATGTAACGTTAAGACTGTTTAAAGCTAAGGATTCATTAATAATTGGGTCAATCTCAGTTTTCTTCTCGTGTATTTTCTGTTTAAAAGGTGTGATATGAACTAAAAAAGTTCTTTATGCAATATTTCCTTGTCAGTTGTATTGCGTACATCTTAAACATTCCCCCTTGATAAAGCATTTAAAAACTGATTTAGGGTGAGCGCTGTGGCGGTGCAAATATTGGGATGTATTTGTGATATGATGGATCAACATATTGGCAATGTATTTCCATTTGCCCCCATTTTATATTTCGTTCGTTTGTTTTTGTAAGGTAGGAAAATGTAAGTTTATCTAATTTTCTTTCTTGAAACATTTTGTCTATCTTGTCCTGTGTAGTTTTATAGATTAAGGACAAATTAGGTTTTTCAATTTCAGTGTAATACTGTATTGTTAATTGACGCAGACCCTCTTTAATGTATTTTTTTTAAATCAATTATCACTACAGTGTTACTTTTGTCTGCTTTTTTGATAACGATGTCTTTATTGTTCAGTAGATCATAAAGTGCCCTCCGTTCGGAAGGTGATATATTAGAAACATTTGATTTGATATAGATAGATGACAACTCTAATTTTGTTAGAGCAATATAGTTTTCCAGTGCTTGGCAAGCATAGCTAGGTATAAAGCCTGTATTTTCTCGAAAAGGATACAAACGTGCATTTTCATCTGTGCTAAAATTATATATGCATTTCAGTTTTCTTGCAAATTGTAGAAAATCTTTCATGATTTTGTTTTTGACGTTTTTTTTTCTGTTTTAGAGTTGGAATATATTTTAATCCCTTTGACAATAGCAATGTTTCACTTTCTGTAAGTGAATTATTGGAGATGTTCAGTACATAGCTTTGAGTTTTTCTCACTTTGGCAGAAAATTGGCGCTTTTTTCAAGAGGAAGAATTTCTTGCTCTCTTTTGTCTTTTTGCTATTTTGGCGAGTTTATTAAAGCGTCGAGCCATGTTGCATACAACAGAATAAATGACTTGGTGATTCATATGCGGCTTACAATCTAAAATACTACTTGTTTATACTCAGTACTGGGCATTTCATTTATTATAGAAATTTCTTACCAGTTTGTAAGGAAAGAAGAATAACTCCATATTGTGTAGCATAATTCAACGATTTAATTGCATAATAATATACCAATAACATGGGTTTGGTACACTGTTGATTCAAATAAAATTTAATAATGAAACAGTAGTTAGTAAGGTCTATTGTAATGACTTCTTCCCCTTGGAAAGTTTCTTGTTACACCTCGACCACGTCTGTTCACATTGCGGTTGTTTCTTGAAGAGAATTCTCTGAAAAATTTTTCGTGAAAGAGCCAGGTACGTTTGCTAATGTCAACAGGCCCTGCAAAATACATAATAAAATGTGTTTGTGTATCCCAACTTTCCATGTATATTTATAAAGTTTATGAACCAAAGTCTTCGTATATGTAATTATTTGGGCGGATCCAAGCTTCGTGTGCTGTTATGTAGTATCCAAACCTATGCCGTATCCGGAAAACAAGCAATTTTCTTCACTTTTCACTCGGTTTTTGGGAAAATTCGATGTGGCCGCAAGCATCGACCACAAAAATATTTTAACCAGGCATACTTTAACATAAAAGGGGTTGATTATACTGGTTTTGTTCTGGTCGTGGACCGCGGCCACAAGGAATTTTGTAAAATTCTGATACTATCAGTCGTCTGCTTTACGGATCTTGACATGAGGGGAATGAAATTAGCTGAGTGTTTTAATAATATTCTGAGAAAATGAATAAAAATAGGATACATAATTACCTTGTAGAGAATCTAAATGATATAAAGAATTAATTTGATAATTCAGTTGTTCAAAATTCGTTGTCGCGACTACCTTTTTATGTTCCCCAAACGAAGTTTGGGAACATATTGTTTTTACTCGGTTTCTTCTTCTTATTATTATTATTAAGGTCTTCCGTCTTCACGGAAGACCTTATAGTGATTCTATTGTTTCTTATTATTATTATTCTTTTTTTTTTAGACAAAATTTTGTGCACGCGATTTCTCGAAAACTATTCAATGAATTTCTTTGAAATTTTCAGGGATAAAATGTCTTTATATGAATTTTATATAAA